AAATCTATGCCAAATTTCAAATTCTTTTGAAATGACGTCATTCATCTCAATCACTGCGTGAACAAATCGCTGGACAGCAATTAGCTGACCGACGGAGGTTCACCAGTATCGCCGGTGCGCGACGGGGGCGTGGGTCGCCACCAGTCGGGGATCGGGGCGGGGCTTAGACGTTGCCGTCACTCGCCGACGACGACGCGTTTGACACAACGCGACAATGGGCAACCGCTCTTCCAGCCACTATCCACCACCGTCAGCATGGTCCCATGGGCCATATGGGGCTTACACAGTTCCCGCAGGAGCTTTTGAGGCAAAACGAGGGCTCAGTGGTGGTCCACCGGGAGCCTATGCGGAGCCGTATGTTCCCCATCCACAGATGCGTCGTTCGATGATAAGTCTGAACGCAGATTCCGGCTATATGACAAGTCCAAGTGACTCGGAACGCCTAAGAATGCGTGGATCGAGAATGTCCCTAAACCATTTGGATTTCGAACGGCAGATGATGTACCCGCCAGACCCGAAGACGATGAAGAAGCTGGAGAAGATGGAGAAGAAACAACAAAAATTGCTGAAAAAGATGGGACGATCTGTGCCTCCAGCGGTTTTTCTGCCACCGCCACCTCCTATGTACACTCGCGCAATGTCTTTTGACGATCTCAACAGGTAAAATTTTCAAAAACTTTTTCATATTTTGCCATATTCGATTACCTTTTTCTTCTCCATCATACATTTGATCGCTTGCTTTCATCTATCTATTCACTTTCCCCTCCTCTCTTTCCTTTTCTTCTAAATAGCCCACCCTATATGACCTCATAAAGCTCGTAGTTCATATTGAGCCCACCCGACGAGACACAGCGTGAGGTATGTGCCCTCGGCTGACCTTGGCCGGGGGCCCCCCGTATGTGCGTGTCTCCTCCGACGACTCACCTCAGCAACGCGAGACGCGAGCTCGAAGAAATTGACACCACTACAGATGTTTTTTCCCATTCAATTTGCCTTTTGTTATCGGTCACTCGATAGTGGTACGAGATAGCGCCAATTAGAGGGATATCATGACCCTTACCATGGGAAAGAGAAGCATTGTCGCGTTGTGAGAGAGGAACGGGTCAGAAAAAGCTGAGAAGAATCATTTCAAACACTTAGATAATT